GCTGAACCTCTGCACGCTATTCTGTTAACAATGAACATCACTGTTTTTATTAATAGTGTCCTGCTCCCAAGCTTTTTATTCCAGGCCACTAACCTCATGGCAATCAATATAAAGTTGCTTATAAAGTAAGAAGAAGGAATCATGGATGCAAACATTTGAGGCAGAAAAAGTATTCAGAGTTATTTGTTTAAAATCACTAGTTAATCAAATTTCAATTCAGACAAGCTTCTACTGTATTTGTAGTTTTGCTTTAAAAACAGCCTCCATCCTCAACTACTTTTCTTCTATTTAAATTTAAATAAGTTTCCCAATAACTTTTAATTATTTTCTCACTGTACCAAAGCATTAGACACTGACTAAATAGAGCTTGTCAAAAACTTTCCAACATTTTCCTATCAGAAAGTGCCAGTTCATTGAAAGCAAAGTATTTAACTGGGTATACAAACTTTGATAAATCTTTCTGATGGAATACAGGCAAAGTTTGAAACTTGCCTGATAATAGATGGGTTTCTGTCAGATAACTATCTGGTTTCCAGTCAGCCCCAATACCTGGCTCAGTCTCAAGGATCACAGTGTTTACAAAAGCCCTAGGACATGTACTCCAGTATTTTCAAGCTCCTAAGCCAGCAGGCTATCTGGACTACTTGACGGCTGTAACCTGGGGGACCATCTTGAGGGTTTCTGGGCTTCTTGCCCAAGAGGCAGCAGCCCTCCTGAGTACCCAGGTGGCATTTGGGCTCTCACAGCTTCCCATGGCAGAATTGGGAGCCTAGGCACTAAGAGTCCAACTAAACTGGACAACCAGGGCTTCCAGTTCGCAATGTGGACCTCAGCTGAGTTTCACAGCTAGCTGTGTTTTTAAAATTAGATTTCATAGAATCTTTATTTTGGAAGAAGGTCTAAGAATCTGGTTTAATCCCATTCAAAATCAAACCAATTTTCAAATATCAAAACTGCCAGTGAACTACTATTCTCATACTCTGACTAGAACTCATTACTAGCATTAAGTTGGTCAAAGTCTTCTGGAAGATGATTCCATTCTCAGATGCTGACAAAACTGTCAAAATGAGTGTTTTTTTCATTAGTAAGTCTCTTTTTAAAATTACTAGTTAGCTTTGCATACCTTATATACACACACATTCACAATAAGGCTAAACAATTTCTTTAAAAGCATTATTTCTGTTCATATATGTACGATAAGTACGAGAAAGCAATATTTAGCAATTTCTGCCTATAGCCAACATCAGAACTAAATACAGGTCTGCTTCTGAGATGAATTCTTGTAAGCAGATAACGCTTTAAGTGGAGTAGATTTTTAAGAGTCTTCAGAAGCAAAAGTTGCTTTGATATCCACACTGGAAAAAACAACTATACATCTTCTACTCAGTACTTGTTCTGTGCTGGTAAGTCATATTACAATGTACGAGTGGTTTAGTGGGGGTTCATTTTGGATTTCCTCGCCCCATGTCAAATTGTAAAAAAAAAAAAATATATATATATATATATATATCAGAAAAAAAATAAGCAACTAATTGGAGAAATTTGAGCTAGTCACTGAAGAACATACCATTTCAGAGCATACAGACTTGTTACTCCCCTCTATTTGCCTTGGTACATGTATCTTCATACAAGCCTACTCCTACAACACAATTTGCCCATCTGGACTCTTGAGCTTGTGCTGACCCTTACTGACCATCCTGGAGTGCAGCCAGAGATGGAGGTCCACTCATACAAATCATTTGTAGAACTGGGGACATAGCATATAACATATATACACCAAAAAGCTATTCAGGCAAAGAATAAACTCAACAAAACTAGTATGTACATTCAACCTAAAAATTAAACTTATTTTTAAAATAAGGAGTCAGGCACTTAGCATTACTAATAATAGTACTAAACACATAGGAGGCCCATTTAGCCTGCCGCAGGATACGACTAATTCTCTATGAAGTTAGGGGGAGTTTACTTATATCCTGTTGTCAGAGCAGTGGGTGTTAGTAAATGAATCAATTACATACAGACCAATTCCTTAAACTGCATCATGTTCTCTTAACTACACTCACCAGCCAGCTGTTAGACATCCCATCAATCCACATTTCAATTCTAAATTAGATTTTTTTTAAATTCCCGTTGGCTTATCCACACTTTCATGCTCACCCCAGCCAAAACACACACAATTCTAGACAATGCATGACAGACAAACTGAAGGGCATTTTGGGGAAGTTGATATTTATTTACATACTAGCTAAAGCCAACATTGGCGCCCAGAGCAGACAACTGGAGACCCTCTGGCACAGGGGACACAATGGCAGGAGTCTGCTACAGACCTCCTACCCAGGATCAAGAGCTTGACCAGGAGTTCGCCAGGGAATTGGCTAAGGCCGCACGCTCCCGGTGCATGGTTGTCATGGGAGACTTCAACTACCCAGACATCTCATGGGAAGAGCGCTTGGCCAAATCTGAGCGGTCATAAAGCTCTCTCTCATGCGTGGATGAGCTCTATCTGACGCAGGAAGTCTACAGGCTGACGACAAGTAAAGCGCTGCTCGACCTGGTACTGGCAATGGGGAACAACCTAATCAGTGACCTAATGATCGAAGGGAAGCTGGGTGACAGTGACCATGAGCTGATCACCTTCACCATCTGTTGTAAAGCTGGCAAGTCAGTCAGCAGGACAGAAGTCCTCGACTTCAGGAAAGCTGACTTTGATAAGCTAAGGAGGCTTGTCAGTGAGGCCCTAAGGGACCACGACCCAAAGGGGAGGGGAGTTCAGGACGAGTGGTTGCTCCTCAAGGGAGCGATCCTGGATGCACAAGGAAAGTCTATTCCATCTCAGAGGAAAGTCAGTAAAAGGGCACAGCAGCCCCCTTGGCTCTCTAGGGAACTAGCAGGCCTCCTGCATCTAAAAAGAAAGACCTACAAAGGATGGAGGACTAGATCCACCTCCAAGGAGGAATACTCTGCACTGGTCTGGACCTGCAGGGAGCGAACTAGGAAAGCCAAGGCAGCGACAGAAATCCAACTAGCTACAAATATCAAGGGCAATAAAAAGTCCTTTTTTAGATATGTGAGGAGCCCGAGCAAAAGCAAGGGCAACATTGGACCCCTGCTAAACCAGATGGGACAACTGACAACCGACACCCAGGAAAAATCCAACTTGTTAAATGGGTACTTTGCATCGGTCTTTCAGCAGTCCTATGGGACACCCCTGACCACTATGGGACAGGGAGGCCTGGGTGAGGGGGATTCCTTACCCTCCATCAATGCTGACCTCATGAAGGAACACCTTGAGAGGCTGGATACCTTCAAGTCAGCCAGCCCTGACAGTTTATACCACAGGGTACTCAAGGAGCTAGCTAGCATCATAGCTCAGCCCCTGGCACGGATCTTCGAGAACTCCTGGTGAAGTACCTGATGATTGGAAGAAGGCCAATGTGGTGCCTATCTTCAAGAAAGGGA